TTTCAAGATAAATTTTAAATTTGATCTGGATGCATAAATTGATATCGATATAATTTTGCTATATATATATATATATACTATAGTTATAGTTTTTATTATTAAATGAATTACAGCATACAGTATACGTAGTAATAACTAGGCACAAGTGGGAATGCTATTTTATCAGATAAAATTTAATTCATCTATATCGATATATGCCAAAAATGGATAACGTAGTAGCGTAATGCTACGTAGATGGAATTAAAATTAGAAGTCGATCGAAATTCCAAAATAATCCGAAAAAAAAAAAGAATGAGTATAAAAGACGAGAAAGGTTGGGACAAAAATTTCCGAAATAAGAAGTTTAAAAAATAGGGATATTAATAAATTTTACTGTTGAGAATGTAAGGGAATATTAAAATAAATTCGTTTCCATGAGAACTTAAATCTCAAAATAGATTTCCAACACTGAACAAATATCGCTCTTTATCAAATTTTAGAAAATATCTTCTTGTAAATTGGGAAATTTTTTACTTTGAAAGAACGTTAATTTCCTCTTTAGTAAATAGTGATTTGTACGTTTCATCATCTGGATCGATGATGAAGGAATGCACAGACTTATAAAATAATTTCAGAATTCAATAATAATATTCTGAAATAATAATGACCCATGTACTGTTTCTACCAGAAAGTTCAGTAATTTCGTAATTTTCTTCATGAAATTAGATTTCTTCTTCGTTTTGAACCAGTTGACTGACATTCATTATTTACATATTGAATGTCAATGAATTCTCTACTGATTATGGTAAAAATAAATGTGGTACTGCTCATAGTTCGCGGCCATTGCAAAATCAAATAATGCAACGAATTTGCCTGTTGATAGGCGTTTTGGTATGTGCATTCTACTTTTTTTTCACTTCCAATAACGCCTTTTCTCTTATTTCTGCTGAAAATAAGATGTCAATTGATTCAGAGGATATAGATCCTTCATTTTCGGGTGAATAACCTTTGTCCTCTGAATCCGTAGAAAGATCTGAAGCTGTATAATTATCGTCTGGTGCCGTTCTTTCTTCTTCACTTTCATCCTGTCTTAAATTATTAAACATTTCAGTCGCCTGACTACTAGCACTCAAAATAAAGTGCTTGGAGATAATCTTTAATACGTACATAATCAGCGTTGCTCAATTATACGTATAACATCGAAATAAACATGCAAAAGTAAACTGATTATGTATGAGTAATATAGTAGAGTATGATTTAGTAAAGTATATATATAGTGGAGTATAATATGTTAAATTAGCAAACACGTGTGTATGGTTGATGAGGTTACTATTAAGTATAAATTAATATATCATGTATAGTATGCAAACGTATATAAAATTTATGCAAATGCGATTTTAAAGAAAAGTAATGTATCGGGCTTTTAAACTTATAATATCGGGTCCAATTTTTATAAAATTTGATATTTAGAGTTTATAATGTTCGTTTGATAGTTTAAAAGCCCGGGCTATTAAATAGCAAAATTCAATGATCGTATCAATGATTTTTTTCTTTTTTTAAAAATTGCTTTTAAAATGTCTATTAATGAATTGACGATACCTTCGAATGATATTAATTCTGACGAGGAATCTATCCTATCGATTAGTAGCACTTCTGAGGATGAAAATTTTTTCGAAGAAAATAATTCTTTTAATAAAACTGATAAAGAGAAAATTTTTTTTGAAAAAATAATTCTTTTAATGAAAGCTTTGAGAATTTTGATATAAATGATACATTTGAAGATAGGTTTTCTGCGGGTTCTTTTTTCAAGAAACTTCTAGATCTTCACCTGAAATAAAAAGTTCAGAAATATTTCAAACATTATAAAGCACAACACTCTATGTTTTTCTATGTTACCATCTCAAGACATTCAAAAAAAAATTGGATTTGTCAAAAACAATTCTCAAACCGGGTTTGGGTCAAAATCCCAATAAACAAAATCCCGATAGGGTCAAAATCCCAACAAAATTGGCCAGGATTAGCTTAATGTTGGCCAATTTTTTAGGAATTTTGACCCTGTCGGGATTCTTATTTTTGGGATTTTGACCCAAACCCTCTCAAACCAGCATAATTGCATTTGGAAAAAAGTTTGAAATAATAACAATAGTTTTCATATCACTATAATGAAGCTATCTCGCAAAATCTTGATTTTTTAAAAACTTCTAAATTCTTTTTTGGGATACTGCTACATATCATTATATTTTAATTACAGTAGAATTTTTGTGAGGTCACATATAAATAAATTCTTTACAACTATACTATTTATATATTACATATTATGAGTATAGTATACAAGTTTTATATACTCAAATGTGATTTTTGCAGCATACTCTACTACTTTACTGTAGAGCTGCGATATTTTAATACGTTATAGAGAAAATTTTAATTATCGGAACCAATTGATAAGAAATGAAGGTCTAAACATCCTTTTTTTTTCATAGAGTTGTGCTGATTGGCTAAAATTTTTCATTGATGGATTACAAAAAATAACCGTTACGTCATTTTGTAACATTTTAGGATAAAATACACATTTTGTAATACCCATTAAAGCTAGTATCCGAACTGTTTAATTTTGCCTCTGCATTTTATACTAAATATAAAGAAAAAGTAATTTTAACAGATACTGCATTGTTAGTATCTCACCTTAATTCAAAAACACTCTAGCATCAGAAAAACGAAAGTACAAGCTGGCTCAAAACAAATTTACTTATCTAAGTGCAAGCAAAATTCAGGGGACATATGACTTTGCAGAACCATAAGCCGATCGGCTTAGCTGAGTTATTTAATAGTTCCATGTAATACAAGCTAAGCCATTAGCCAGTTTAGAGCCGTGAGCCGATTATATAACTCTAATATGTTGTAATCATTATAGTTTCATATTGATAATAAACTTTAGTATTGATAATAAACTTTCATATTGATAATAAGCTTTCGCATTTATAATAAAATGCCCAGAGGAAAATGACTTTATTCAATTACAGACATTCACAAAGCCTTTGGAAATGTTTTACGTGTGTTGTGGTTAATGTCGTAATTAATAATAATGGATGATCAAAAATGTAGTAATAATTAAAAAATGTGATAGATAAATTATGCAAATAGATAATAAGGAAGATAGCAATTAGTAATAATAACAATTGCATGAACAATGTGGTAATTGATAATGATTAGTAATAGTATATAAGTAAAATGTAAAGAGATAGATTCTCAAGTTCAGAATTAGTTCAATAATTAGTTAGTATTTTATCATTCACTTTACCTTAACCATTAACTATATCCATAATAAATAAACAATTAAGTGAGCGTTCTTTGACCCAGATATTCGGTATAGTTAACTCTATATCATTTAACTCTATAACAAAATAACTGAAGGCTGCCAGAATTTACACAAAAGGCCAAGGTCTGTTATGCTAGAGTCAGCTCAGAGCACCAGCAAGGTAATCTTGAATGACAGATCACAGATCTTTGACATAATTACCCAGGATATGAAATCATCAGTGATATCGGTTCAGAACTTAATTGAAAATGTCTTACTCTTTTGGAATGAATACACTCTGGGGAGTCAAAGAAGTGGTGGTTACCCAAAAAGACTGATTGTATCACTTTGGATCCGAACTTGTGGAGTGGGTTTTTGAAAAAAATAGGACATGGCTTATAATATTCGGTTAAGATATTTGTGCCAATGATAATGAAACTAGAAAGCTTGCAGAAGACTTATTCTCAATCGTCACAGTGTTTGTAGCATGACATAATGGATTATGCTCTGCTGCCAATTGCAAAAGAAGAAAAGAGACTGCCTAAGCAATTCAAAAGTTCCAAGAAGGAAGTAATAAAACTTCTAGCAGGTAAGGCATAACGCATTCGCCTTTTTCCATCTCAGAAGGAACGATTGAGACTCAAACAATGGATAGAAACAGCTCAATGGATATACAATCGATGCCTTGTCGTGGTCGAAAAAGAAGCCGTTAAATGAAAAAGACAAACTTACAAGCTTGATGTCTTAATGCTATAAACTTTCAGAATAAAACAGAACTTAAGTAGATTTTAGATACACCTTATGATATTCGAGATGAGGCAATAAATGACTTACTTAAAGGATATACATCTAATTTTGCTGCAAAACGTAAAAACTTTAAAATGAAGTTTTGCTCTAAAAAAGATCCACAACAATCAATTGCAATACTTTCTAAACATTGGGGTAAATCTCGTGATGAATTCTCATTTTTTTTATAAAATGAACTCAGCAGAATCTCTTCCAAAAAAACTTGAATATGATAGCTGTCTTGTTATAAATTGTCTTGGCAAATTTTATCTTTGTATACCTGAGCCACTTAAAATATGAGCTAAGAACCAAGGTCCTTTATTTTCAGAAAATCAAAAAAAGGTTTGAATTAATTTTTTAATTTTTTATTTTTTTAGATTATTTACATATATTTAACTACTATTAAAAAAGGGTGGATCAGGAGTGATTGCACTAGATCCAGGTGTATATACTTTTTTAACTAGCTATGATCCAAGTGGAATGGCTATTGAATGGGGAAAAAATGATATCAATCAGATTTATCGACTTTGTCATATATATAACAGACTCCAAAGTAAATGAAATATGATTCATAGAAAAGAGAACAAACGTAAATGTTACAGATTAGTTTTTAATAATAAATTTATAGATTTATATTATTTATAATTTGACATGATTATTTTAATTATAGACTATGGCATGTTATGTTGCGTATTTATAAGAGGATCTGCTGTCTAGTTCATGAATGTCATTGTAAATTGACTAAATGGCTTTGCAAAAATTATCGTATAATAATATTGCCAGAATTTCGTACTTAAAAAATGATCAGATGTGTGCAACGATGTATTGGTTCTAAGACAGCTCAAGCTATGTGTACATGGTCGCATTTTTGTTTTCGGCAACATCTGGCTTATAAAGTATGTAAGCATTCATGGTGTTGAATAATTATTTGTACAGAAGAATATACAAGTAAAACTTGTAGATTCTGTGACTATGTCTATCGCAAACTGGGTGGATCTAAAGTATTTTGTTGTTCTGAATGTAAAACAGAACTCGATAGTGATATTAATGGTACTCGCAATATTCTTCTTCGCTACCTTACTAAAAAAGAGTCAGTTTAAGTTTAAGCTGACGTGGGAGCCTACTCCCTTTACAGAACTTGTATTACCTAATTCAAACTTTATATATCAGTTTATTTTTGGAATTGGCCAATAACTTCTAATCTACTAGTCTGTTTTAGATAATTTAACTACCAAAATGTTCATCTCAGTAAGAGAATTCTAACAAGTCCAAAATCATTAAAATCCAATCACAGAATTCAAAGATAGTTTGAATTTTATACAAATTTAATAGTAAATTTAAAATTTTTAGATAAATATTTTAATCTTGAATAACTTCTGATCTACTAGTCCATTTTGGATGATTTAACTACCAAAATGTTTGTCTCAATGAGACGATTTCAACAAGCCCAAAATTATTAAAATCCAATAACGAGATCCCAAGATAGTTAAGAATTTGTATCATCAGCCAATCAAGTTTTATATATAAATTTACATATAAAGCTCATCTCTAATTTGATTGGCTAGTGATACAAATTCTTAACTATCTTGGGATCTTGTGATTAAATTTTAATAATTTTAGGCTTGTTGTAATCGTCTCATTGAGACGAACATTTTGGTAGTTAAATAATCCAAAATAGACTAGTAGATTAGAAGTTATTCAAGATTAAAATATTTATCTAAAAATTTTAAATTTACTATTAAATTTGTATAAAATTCAAACTATCTTTGAATCCTGTAATTAGATTTTAACAATTTTGGGCTCGTTAGAATCCTCTCACTGAGCTGAACATTTTGGTAGTTAAATCATCTAAAACGGATTAGTGGATCAGAAGTTATTGGTCAATTCCAAAAATCAACCTATATGATTTCACTTTTTGAGTATGGTGTTGATAATCATATCTATAAATTCAAAGTATCTATAATAAAAAAATGGTGTGAATCTTTTTTTTGTTTCTTTCACTAATTAAAGTCTTAAATTATAATGGGTCGTGGTTCATGAGTTGCTATTATTGGTGCAGGTTCTGTTGGTGCTTTTATTGCCTTTGCATTGCATCTGCAGAAGATTTCCTCTGAAATTCTTTTGGTCGATATTAATCCTGAAGCTGTTGAAGGTCAAGTGTTGGATCTTTCAGATGCTAACTTCATTTCTTCTACCCAAGTTCGCAGTGGCACTTTTCAGGAGGCTGGACAATGCGATATTGTAGTTATTACTGCTGGTGCTAAACAGAAGTCCGGTGAAACAAGAGTTGAAGTAGGTGCTGTCAAAATTTATCTTCTTTTTAAAAAAACTTGAATATCTAATCTATGCTTCATTCAATTTTTAGTTAATTGAAAGAAATTACAAAATTTTGGATAATGTGATAGGATCTATGAAGCCATTTAATCCTAATATAATTTTATTACTAGTGGCTAATCCTGTGAGAAAATAATAATCTTTATAATTTAATATCTACATTAAATATCGATATTAATATCGATATATATATATATATTCTACACATTAATATTCATGTTATCCATGTTAAAGGTAGATGTATTAACTCGCATTGCTTAAAAACTATCTGGTTTGCCAGAAAAACAAGTATTTGGTTCGGGTACTTTTCTGAATTCGGCAAGATTAAAACTTAAATTAGCTTCTGTACTTGGGGTAATTTATATTTTTGGAAAAAGTTTACACATTTTAATATATGAAATTAATTGCTAAATTATAATTAACACAATAGGTCTCTGAGAATGCAATTCACAGTTACGTTTTAGGTGAACATGGTGATTCACAAATCATTGCATAGTCTTCTGCCCATGTTGGAGGTAAACCTTTGTTGGATTTTCCCAAAATTCAAAAATTAGATAAAGAGGTTGTTGCTAAAGAAATTGCAAATAAAGCCTACAAAATTATTGAACTTAAAGGAGCAACTTATTTTGGAATTGCTGGATGTGTATCCATGTTAGTTTAGTGTATCGTATTGAATCAAAGACATATAAGACCATTGAGTGTTTATATTAAAAAATATGACTGCGTATTTAGCATGCCGGTCGTATTGGGAAGTGATGGTGTTGAAAGAATAATTGAAATTTCATTGAGTGAAGAAGAAAAGAACAATTTGAGACGTTCAGCGTCAGCCTTGAAATCAATTTGTGCCAAATATCTTTAGATGAAATTTGAATAATTATTTAAATAACTAGTACAGGAAATATATCATTTATATATGATAAGAGGTTTAAATGCAGTAATTAAACACAACTCATGTTAATATATATATAAGTTATTCATCTGCTTCATTAAGGGGTTTCAGAATTAAAAAAAAATAGTATATTTTGGAAATAAATAAGAATTTAAAAAATCTTATTTGTGTGTCAAAATTTTGAAATCAGAAAATAAAATGGGAATGTTTAAAGACTCCCATTTGACGAAATATGTGAAATTTCTTCAGATTAAGTTTATTATAAGCGACCCTTCCATTTGCCACATTGATGTAACTAATAATAAATAATTAATACGATTAATTAGTAAATGCTTATTAGTTAATGAATGATTCGTCGCACCTCCGTGCGGGAAACGAAATAAAATTGATGTTTGAAAACAAATTTTAATCAAAATTAGATTTCCGTTGCTAAAAATTTTTATTGACTCTCAATTTAATTGGTTGATCAAAAAATAATAGTTACCAGAAACTTTTTTCTTTTTAATTAGTGATTATGAGTCGTACTCCATTATGACATAATAAAATTCTCTACTACGGAGAATAACCTGATAGATCTCCGCCCATACGACAGGGATGTCCGCCATTGCATTTATTTGCAAAAGTACTCTATTATCTGGTTAATGTTTCTGCTTCTGTGAACGGTGATCTGAATTATCAGAAAGAATTATTTTGGCGGCAATTAAATTGTCATCAAATAACTTCGTTATTGATGGTCCTCAAAATAACAAAGTTATTCTGAAACCTGGTCATAGTAAGGGATGTCTAAAGCATAGCTGAATTAAATTTAGGCACTTTAACTTATGATTAGGTTAGGGTTAGAAGCATTTTTATATAAGCAAAATTTCCTTTCTAACATTTTTTATTTAATATACCCAAGGTAAGTTCAGACTATCGTTTTTTATATTTTTATTGCTTCGTCAAATTTCTATAACTTGATTGCCGCAATATCATGTGATTATGCTCCGCTTCAAACCATCTAGCAATATTTAATCATCAATTTCACGCCTGTAAACTATCAATGTAAACTTTTTTAAAAAATTTAACGCATGACTCACATAAAATCACGTAAGTAACCTTGCGCGAGATGTGTGAATATATGCTAAGTAGTGTTACAATCAAAAGTTGAAAAAATCGATTAGTTGGTTAGTTGACAACTAATCGATTGAATTTTTCAGATATCAACTAATCGATTAATCAATTAATCAACTAATCGATTAAAGAATTAATTGCTAATCGATATAATTAATCGATTCGTTGCAACGATTTGTAACACTATGCTAAGTTTACCTCACATGAGGTAAATCTCGAATTCTAAACTAATTCGGTTGATTAAGAGAATTCAAATTCCACTTTATCAAATCAATAAAATAAACGGGATTGAAATTCTTTATTCATCAAAACTTTCTATACTATATAATCGAATTATAAAAAAATGACCTTACTGTATCATGTACCATAAGGTCATTTTCAAGGCAAAGACCCCATATTAGAATATTTATTTTTTATCTCGCAATGCATAACGTCAATGTTGCCTATTAATAAAAAGGGACCATGTATAGGAACTTTTGGAACACCCTGTATGTTAATTATACTAATTATATGGGGCGTCATCAATCAAAACGTAGCTTAGTGAGATTGATCATTTTCTGAAAATTGTTACACAAAGTAATGAAAATTATAAGAATCTCATAATTTTTTATCACTGTGTATAACAATTTTCAGAAAATGATCAATCTCACTAAGCTACGTTTTGATTAACGACGCCCCATATAATAGTGAAATATAAATAAAATACATAAATTATAATTAAGTTAATAATATAAAATATAAATAAACTATACTAAACTACTTTATATTGTAAAAAACCTGTTTTACAGTAAAACATCATAGATGTGTTTTATAATAATTCTAGACTTGACTATATAAATAGCTAATAAATTTTTAGAAAATCAAGTTGTAAGAATCATAAAATCTACACAAATAAGAAATCAATAAATAATATTAACTGAATTGACTTAAATAAAAGACTATTTATTGATCAAATTGATATGTATATATTGTTTTTTGAATACTTTGATACAAGTTATATTCATAATGAGAGTACAACTAGCTACTATGCTTTTGGTGCTGTATACACTAGGCCTGTCTCTGCAACCCAAACTAGGATTATCAGATTTCTAAAAATAAGCTATCTACAAAAATAAGTTACCCTCTCTCAAAGAAAATCTTAAAATATCTTTACCTCAAAAATAAGCCACCTATCCTGCAATTTTTCTGTAATCTTAAATGGTTGCTATATATAAAATTCAAAATTATACTAAGTAAATTAGCAAAAATTACTTAATACAAATTGTTCAGAGGTAAAAATACACATATTCTAAAAGTTTTATACAAATTAGAGAACTTTTTACTAAGAAGTTTTTGCATTATACATTAAAATATAAAATGCAAAAATATCTTAGTAAAAAGTTCTCTGATTTGTATAAAACTTTTAAAATATATGTATTTTTACTTTCTAAATAATCCATATTAAGTAACTTTTGTTGGTTTACTTAATAGAATTTTGACTTTTATATATAGCAACTACTTGTACTTAATAAAAAAATAACTAAAAATAATCAAAGATTAATTATATTCAGAAATAAGCTACTCCATGATTTTTGTGTAACCTTTTGGCTAAAAAAGAGTAGCTTATTTTCAAAAATCTACAGTACCTATTTAAACTCTCTGGCGAATCCTACCTGTTAGTAATTTTATTAACTCTAGTTAGTACTTTTATATTTAGACTTGCTACTAACTTTATCTATATTAGTAATTCTTTGGTTTAGTTTATTTTTAATACCTTGGTAAATAAATATAGTTTACTTCTATTAATACTTAATTAGCTTATATGTTATATATTACTTGTTTAAATTTGCTTCTAAGTAAAGTTATTAAAGAAGGTTTAGACCACAGATAAGTTACTAAATATATTTAGATTTAGGTTTTCTTAGTTATATATCTAAGTTCTTATTTTTAGTACTAGGCCTAAAATATAAAACCTTTTTTAATTTTGTAAAAAGTTTTTATTAAGTTGAATAAAAATAAGAGCAAGGTTTCATTTTAAATATTAAAAAAAAAAAGTAAAGTTATTAAAGATAGACAAAAAGTTAAAAAATAGTATAATATAGGTTAAAAAAAATTTTATTGTATAAAATTACAAGTTGTCAATTAATAATATAGTTTTATATAGTAAGGGTTACTGTAAAATTTTTTTTTTTAAAAAAATTTAGCAATCTTGCTAACACTTTATTAGTATAATATACAAGCTCACAGGGAGTATAATGTATTGACTGAAGTCTATCTAAATTTTTTAAATGTTAACTAACCCAACTTTTTGCAATACTAATGATATCCAAATTGCTCATGTTTGATCTGCTATAGTAAGTTTATCTTTATATCATTTCACTTTGCAAACAAATGTTTTGATACTTTCTTGAATAAATTTATAACCTATCAAGATTGCCTTTTTTTTTAACCTTCTTCTTTTAGCTTTCTAAGCAGAAGGATTCATAGTCTCCAACTGAATTATAAAAAAAATACTAAAACTAAAACAATAAAGAGAAAACAAAAAAGTAAAAAGTGCTGAAGCAAAAGAAAATAGCAAAAAACAAATGAAAGAAGAAAAAAAAGCAGAAAAGAAAGAAATCTATGACAATACTATTATAGTTTGTGCTAGACAAAAGTTGTAAAAATTATATACTAAAACAAAATTTTGTATATCTCTAATGTAAAGCTAAGCTTTATCGTTAAATTTTTTTCTGATTTATAATTCTGAAGTTTGACTGTTCTTTTAACCAAAGCGCCAATTATTCATTACATGGTGTAAGAGTTATTATTAAAACAAATATACATGAGTTTGCCAGTTTTGTATTGTGCCCTACTAAGCTTGTCTAAAAAAAAAAAGCAAACAAATACTAATTTTTTAGAAGGGTAAACTAAAATGCTTACTTTTTGTTAAAAATTTTGGTGAGGTTAACAAGAGACAAGAGAGATGAAAAATTACTAGTTCTAAACCAAAGGAGTGTGTATACTTTTCTTGCAAAATATAACAGTGACTTGTTGATTAAGCAAAAAACAGTTACTTAAAAAATGTTAACAAGTAAGTGATAAACTCTAAGTTTGTCAGCAAGTAGCATATAATAACTACTTCTAAACAACAAGTGCTCTCTGTTACTGTAGTAAGTGAGGGGGCATCTATAAATAACGTTATGCTTGGGAGGAGGGGGTCCCCCAAAATATAACAATTTTCTAATATTTAGAGAGGTCTCCTATAATATAACACAATTTTTTTATAA